GTGTCCTTGAAGACTGGCACAAAAGCGAACAAGTGAATTTTCAAGATGACAGTTTGCAGAAGTTGCAGATCGTTCGGAGATGATCTGAATTAGACAGACTTTTAAAAACACCTCTGTGGAGTTTCTGCAGATTTATAATGAGATGCTGCTCCGTAAAAGACTCGACTTGTCTTTTCTAGATTTAATGTAAATGTTAAGTTTGCTCATTTCTAGTTAATCAAACTTAAAATGACTTAATTTTGCTTTGAGACAACATTAAAACTTAAAATGCTTCAAGGTATAAGAATGACGAGAGTTCACTCAAGAAACAAAACGAGCTTTTAAGCAGATTTCCCAGAATGCATTCAGTCAAAAACTCGTGTTTTTACCAAAAGTAATTTGTTCTTTTACAATATTTAACTATAACATTATAGTTTTACTGCATTTAAATAAAAAACAAATGTCATTTTACAGATATTTCCCATTATTTTCACACTTTTTACAGTTGAAAATGACAATATTCTACATTTCTAACACATTTTTGTGGTGCTCTTGCTGTCAGATTTGCAGAATTTATTTTTTACAGCGTCGAGCAGCAAGAACAGAATCATTACGACAAAGAAAAACACAAGTAATGCTTCTATCAAATGATGCAGACGTGATAAATATCTTGGCAGTGGAAGATGCACAAACAACCTCCAGTTTATAACAAGTTGTTTGGTTGAGTAGAAACATCTCGTCCCTGAAGTTCTGCAGAACATGTTTCACATAGGTGAACAATTCCAGCTCTGATTCTACTTCTCAGCATGAGGAGCGATTGGTGTGATGAATCAGACTGTTGTCCAACTCTTTGTCTTCGTCCCGCTGAGATCCAACCGTGAACAACTTGTCGCTGCCGTTTTGTGTCACTGTGTCAAACGGCTTGGCTCGCACGCTAACAGGCGTTCACGACAACCAGCGCTTAGTCGTCCCGCTATCAGATCCCCGCCCGCCGACGAGCAGCAACACGACACCTCGGGCACAAAGGGCCGCAGATATGATGAGACGAGATACGAGACAGATGGAGGGTCCGCGGTGTGCAGCCGGAGGAAACCTAATTGTGGTTGATAACTACCGAAGTTTCACACAGAAGCCGATTAGACATTCTGTTAACACCTTCTGCTAAGACTCCCACATACTGATAACAGCACGGGGCGGCAGGTTGACCGAGACGGATTCAAACAGTTCAAATGCTTTCATAATGTCGGCGAGACTGGAGGGACACTGGAACACTGGATGGTGCATGAATTTCTAATAACACCGTTAAAGTTAGGGGTTTTTTTGGGCCACTTGGAGGCAAGAACAACCAAAACTGTCATATTATGCTGATGGATTTGAGAGCAAACAATTTTGTATTTACAGGATAGCGTACCGAGCATTAAAAGTTCAATATTCAGCTTCTTTCGGGTTTTTTTTTTAAACTTTCTTTTATTCCTAGCAGCTCCTGGGGGAGTTCTGTAGCTCTGTAGCTGCTAAACGCTCCACTATGTTCCCCAGATTGTCAATAGCAGTGTCATTGTTGGACTCTAACCAGAAGGAGTACATCAGGGTTTTAAAGTTTTCTTTTTGCAAACAGCTGCTGCCGTCAAAAAACCCTGAAGAGCAGCAAGAGTGAACAAATTTACAGAGCAGACAGCGAAAGAAAAGGCTCCGAAAAAGCTCCTAAAAGCTGCAGATTGATGTAAATAAAAGTCTTTTGGAGTGAAGCTTTTTATGTTTTTACATTCATGTCATATACGTCGAGCGGTGCTGCTTTAGATTTAAAAAAAAATCCACTGACATTTCTGAAACTGTGCTTCTTACTTTCTGTCATGGAGTTAATGAGAAGATCAGTTTCATGTACATTCAGCACAACGCTCAGCATAAAACGACTGAAAAACAACACGTTTCCATCGCAGAAAGGACGCATTCATCTTTATAGATTAGAAATGACCTTGTTTACATGTTTTCCAGCTAGTCATTGTTAATCCAAGGATCACTTGGGTTTTGTTTCGAGGAACACGTGTGAGAAGCCATCGATCTCACAGAAGCTGCAGCAGATGTGGTCCAGCTGTTGACACGAGGAGGTTAACTTTTGCTCTTTCTCGTACGCATGTGAATCCTGAGGAACATGTTGCATTTTTTCCTTAAATCTACATAAAAGAAATGCTGAATGAGAGTTTGCATTGAGTTCCTGAAGCTTGCAGAACTGTGGCTAAATGACTTCCTGTAGCAGTTTAGCTAACCTGACAGCCACAACATTAACACCTAATAGTCAAGTGTCTGATACCAAGATGATGGCCGAGAACCGTTTGGTTACAAGTTTATCAAAACTGTTGGGATGTTTGGAGGCTGGATCAGCGCCTTGGGCTCTTGTTTGTGTTCCTCGAGCCATTCTGGTTGATCAGTCATCGTCTGGCTGCTCTCCAACTGCTTATTTCTGTGGGTTTTATAGCCCCAGTACGAGCTATCTGGAGCTAAAGTGTTGCAACGTGAACATAACTGAGGGGTTGATTGTCAAAGTGGGCCAAACCACTAAAAATCCAAAGTTGAGTGTTTAGTGTTTATGGTCTGCTAGTTCGTGGCAAAGTGGTCCAACCAATGTGACTTTGACGTTTGGCCCATAATGGTTTTGGCATGAAAATTCAGTGGCACACTGAGCCAAGCCACAGGAATGGCTGACCGTTATATTACCGGTAGTTGCACATGTTTGAGATTCAAGATGGCGGACAGCGCGACCTCAAGCCTCGAAAACTCAACTCGTAGGTACAGTAAGGTAAAATAAAAACTTAAATTAACCACCACCAAGCATCTGTTTCTACCACATGGTCCTCAGAAGTATCTCCAGTTCCTGATGATGTAAACTCTTCGATAAACGAACCCTTTTCTTCAACAAGTATAAAATGTGGTACTTTGGCCCACTTTGGCCCTCAGAAAAAGGAAATGAAAACTTAAATAAGTAATCACAGAGCAGCTGTTTCCATCTCTGGACAGTGTTGAAATATCTCTGGATGCATATAAAGATTCCTCCTTGTGTTTTTAGCAACGCAAAATTTTGACTTCTCCAAATCTACTAAATGTGGTTTGACCCTCTTTGGCACTGACGCCCTCAACTGCTGTGGGATCATCCAGCCGTGGTTAATTCTAAGACAGAGAAAAAGAGCGAGTTTCATCCATTTTGAGTCACAGGCTGGAGACACCACACCAGATGTGCAACCTTCTAAAGAAGACACCTTCCAGATGTGTCAGGATGGTGTGAAGTCAGTGTGATCAGGAGGAGGCAGACCGTCAGACACAGCTCCAGACAAAAAGACACCAGTGACGTGGCCCAGTTTAACCAGCTCAGACCTCCAGTCACCACCAGACCTACGAGGGACCAAACGACTGTCAGAAACACTCTCACCCTGCAGGAAGTGGAGGTCGAGGTCTTGACAGCAGCATCAACAGGATCTCACACCGAGAGTCACGTGAAGACAAAGAAAGATGATTATTCTACCATCTGGGACTCAATCGTTCTTTCTATTTACTTATTTAAAGGAACTGCTGAACATTGACTTCTGGAATTATGATCAGTTTAGACGAAGGTCTCCACTACAATCTTTTACTTTTTATGTGCCAAACTAGAAGTTTGACAACATCTGATGTCGTATATGTTTAATCTTATTTTGATCCTTCGTCTACCATCAGTACACAAATAGAAATTACATGTGGACTGTTTTGAAATTAGACAAATCACAAAAACATCTGTAAAGTGTACCTCAGTTCCTCCAAATTGCTAATTATCCAAACTAGCGTCTGCTTCCAGGTGTGGTCTTATTCATCCCTTCCTCTTGGAATTTCACCGTAATATCGACCCAATATTGAATAAATGTATATCAATATAAGTTCAGTAAATTGGCTGTTCTTGTTCACATTTCGGTCACTACCTTGCATTGATTCCAGCTACCTAGCGTTTACAAACAACCATAAATTTACATAATTTCCTTCCTGACAGCACAACAAGAGCTGCTTCATATGCTGCATTATTATATTGATGTGATGTAAATGTTTCGCTGGTTGAATATCAGTTAGATTGTGTCGTAAGTCTGCAAACATTTTCCCTGCACTGATCTTAACCCGGTTCATCCCGCAGCGCCAGTTCTGCTTACCAAAAGTGGCCCACTAGGCGGCTCGCATTCCACGCCCGGCTCCAAGCCAGCGAGCCGGGCTTCTTACCCATTTAAAGTTTGAGAATAGGGTGAGGTCCGTTTCGGCCCCAGGGCCTCTAGTCATTTGCTTTACCAGATGAAACTGTGAGGGACACTGAGCGCCAGCTATCCTGAGGGAAACTTTGGAGGGAACCAGCTACTAGACGGTTCGATTAGTCTTTTGCCCCTATACCCAGTTGGGCGGCCGGTTTTGCCGTTCGGGCCACTGCGGGTCTCCCCCAGGGTTTCCCCTGGCTTACTGGACTAAATAGGTGATTTTTTTTTCCAGATGTAACTTTCGTTTCTTCCAGACTTGAAGCACATTTCTGAATCCAGCTTCTCTGTTTCTACACTAACTTATTTTTACATTAAAATTTCTGGAATTTGTTGAACAATAAAGACTCCACAGTCGCCTCCGGTAAAACTCTTAAAAGCAATCTGCTCTTTATCTTCTAGTGGACTCGTGTTTATCTCGCTGCAGGGAGATGGCAGGTCAGCCATAACCGCCATAAAATCTTAAAAACATGTGGCTTTAAATCATAAACTACTGTAAATAAACACAGTGCAGGAAAACAAATGTTAAAATCCTGCTCTAATTGTACGGACATGTGTGGAGTTTTAATTGCCCCGTTACAAACTCTGCTTCAGACGATGCTGCATCCCAAACAGCTGAAAATATCCAATTAAGACTAATGGTGAGTGAAATTAATTTATTTGCGGCCTCACTGTACAAAAGCATGCAGCCTGTTCTTGTGTCATAAGACAGAACTATAATTATCTGGAACAATAGTCAGAGTGCAGGAAAAGGTGCATTATTGCTCAGAGATGAGCTCAGGAAGATCTTGTTTAATCTGCTGGGAGGCTGCAGCCTCTCAAATAATGTCCTGTTTAAAGGTTATGATGCAGCTTATTGCTGCCGAGACGACACAACACACCTCATTATTTTTAATATTCCTCACTCTTTAGTCCGTTTTCCACCCTTATTTCTTTTAGTCCACGTGGGAAGAGTCTGGACATGTTTAGTTTGTTTTCTCCCTGCAGATTAATATGAACATTAGTGCATTAAAATAGTGAGAGATGTAATGATGGGTGAAGACAGAAGCACATTTCTGTATCTCTCTTATATGTTCTTGTACATTTGTTGACTTTTTCAATATTATATTTTCTATATTTTTTTACATCTTATTTTATTTTACTTTATTTTGTTTAACCTTCATTTTATTCCCTAATATGCTGTGCTGTTTTTTTGTTGTTGTTTGTTTTGTTTGTTGAATATTGCTGCTGTAACAGAATTTCCCTCTGGGATTAATAAAGTCAGTCTAAGACAGCAGGGCTGTTATTGTAGAGACTGAAAAATGGGGAATGACATGAAAAATCAACGAGCCGACCTGAAGGCTGAATAGTTCATCTTGCAGTCAGATATTCTCCACAGCGCTGTGTCAGAACTGGAGAACGATCTGACTGCTCCTCCATCCATCCATTATCTCTACACCAGGGGTGTC